TGCGTACTTTGGCCCCCTCACCGGCCCATACCGTCGAAGTCTCTTGGATACATGGAGTGGTATTCTTCGCGGCTTTGAAATTAAGACAAGTGAGCAGATGGATCTTGTCGCCACCACGGGGGATCCAGTGCAGATACAGGAGTGGCAGCTCTGTGGGCTGCCAAAAGATCCACTTTCTACGGAGAATGCTATCATTCTCACGAATGCACGGACATGGCCGTTATTGATCGATCCACAAGGTCAAGCGAATGCGTGGATTCGGAATTTACACAAGAACGACAACTTGCAGGTATGTAAGGCTTCCGATGAGAAATTCATGAAGGTTGTGGAGGGTGCTATTCGTATTGGCCTCCCCTGTTTATTGGAAAATGTGGGTGATTCTCTCGATCCAGCACTGGAGCCAGTTTTATTACGAAATGTCTTTCTTATAGGCAGCACACCCCACATCCGTGTTGGCGACTCTGCTATTCCGTATGACAAGCGATTTAAGTTCTACATGACGACAAAGCTTCCGAATCCTTCATATACACCAGAGAACATCGTGACAGTTTCCTTGTTGAACTTTTTCATTACACGAAGCGGACTAGAGGATCAGCTATTAGGCAAAACGGTGGAGAAGGAGCGTAATGACCTTGAGCAGGAAAAACAGAAACTCACCCGGGACTGCGCAGAGAAGAGCTTGGAGTTGAAGAAGATGCAAGAAAACATTTTACGCATGTTGGAGGAGGCGGAAGGCGACATTCTCGACCAGGAGGAGTTAATCGATACACTAGAAAGGAGTAAATTGAAATCCACAGAGATTAAGGATGACTTGCGACGTGCGCGTGAGACAGAGAAGACGATTGATGAAACCCGAAATAAATATCGTCCACACGCGTATCGTGGAGCATTGCTGTTTTTTTGTGTGTCGGAGCTTTCCATGGTGGACCCTATGTATCAATTTTCTCTTCAGTGGTTCATCAACCTGGTGCTGTTTGCCGTGGACAAGACGGAGCAGGCGGAGGACATTGATACACGTGTCAAGAATCTGACGGAATATTTCACGTACTCCTTTTACACAAATGTCTGCCGCTCTTTGTTTGAGCGTCACAAGCTGACATTTTCGTTTTTCCTCTGCACTTCCATTCTGCAGCAGGAGGGCAGTCTGAACGGCGACGAGTACCGCTATTTGCTGACAGGACCGACTGGTCGAGGAGGCAACGCGGCAAACCCGGCTCCAGAATGGCTTACAAAGAATTCATGGAACGAGATCCAATTCATCAGCGCC